ATATATATATATATATATATATATATATATATATATATATATATATATATATATATATATAGCAACACTAACTGAGCTTTTCAGTAGATTGTTTGTAACTTTGTTGTTTCCATTTTCATGGTAAATGAAACTATTGGCAAATATTTTCTCACAGTGGTGTGGATGTTTGTTTCTCTCGCGACAGATACGTGATTACGAACCCTCCCTACAACTTCAAGCTGGAGTGAACCAGCTTTACTAGCTTTACTAGGTTAGTTTTAGCTCCTATGGGACTAAGTTTGGGGTCGGTGTGATTTTTTCATGTTTTTGAAAGTCTCTCCTGCTCACAAAAACTGCATGTATTTGATCAAAAATACAGTAAAATTGTGAAATATTATTACAATTTAAAACAGCTGTTTTCTATGTGAACATCTGTTAAACTGTAATGTATTTCTGTGAGCTGGTGCCTACAGATCTGATCTTCTGCCTGATGCAATTCGACCACAACGCCGGCCAGACGCGCACCAACCTGTCCTCCCACCCCACCTTCTGTCCCAGCAAGAAGAGCCCATCCGCCCACTCCATCCCCTCATCCGCCCGGCCGGGCCGCAGCCGGAGCCGCGACCTGCGCGACAAACAGAAGTACGTTCCTCTGTAAGCGTCAGTGCGGACTCTTATCACAAACACGAATCCCGGACTGTATTTTTTTACACGCATCAAATGTTTACTTCGCACATCATCTTTAGCATACTAGTTGCATCTGTATAAAGCACCGGCCAGCGTTAACGAATAATGAATCAGTTTTACCATTTTGCACTTTAACTGCACTTTAATCCTACAGTTTGACAACAGCGGCCTGACGAACGCTCGTGTGCTTCATCATCACATCACGCCTCTGTGCTTCTACATCCTGATACTCCTGATATAACACGGCTGCTGTCTCGTGTTACCCACCTACAGTGGCTCCAAACGTCTGACGGCTTGCATTTTTAGTTAATAAAAAATGACATTAAATTATTACAAGTTAATACATTTAAATTTAAATATTCAAATGTAAACATTAAATTAACAATGTTAACGAAAACATGCATTTTTTTGTTGTTGAAATTTTGGATTTATGCATTTTTTTTATTGCAGTGGAAATTAATTTTTTGCAAGTGTTTAGATTCCCAACTGAAATGATGTAAAACAAACATTTTGTGGATTTTAGGAATAGAGAAAAATCTGTACAATTCAATCAATTCCAGATGCCGCGACCTGCGCGACAAACAGAAGTACGTTCCTCTGTAAGCGTCTGTGGCGTTGAGCCTTGCCTGTGTGCACGCGTGTGTGTGTGTGTGTCACGCCTGACGCCACGGACTCATCCTTACGCTTCGGTATCACAAACGCAAATCCCGGACTTAATTTTTTTACACGTATCGAATGTTTACTTCTTACATCGTCTTTAACACTAGAAGTTACATCTGTATAAAGCACCGGCCAGCGTTTACACGACAAACCATGGTTTTGTTGAGGATCAGTACGTCTTACACAGGTAACACTGTGTTGGGTTAATGAATCAGTTTTACCATTTTGCACTTTAACTGCACTTTAATCCTACAGTTTGAAAACAGCGGCCTGACGAACGCTCGTGTGCTTCATCATCACATCACGCCTCTGTGCTTCTACATCCTGAGAACTGCATTTATTTGAAATATAATTTGTAAAATGATGTAAAACAAACATTTAATGCATTTTTTTTTTTGGAATAGAGAAAAACCTGTATAATTCAGTCAATTGCAGGTATATAAAATTAATGAACAATACATGCTCAAAATATACAAAATTAATCAAATATAAAGGTCATGATGGATAAAGTGTACATATTTCAGTTGACGTTTTGCATTTTTAGTTATTACATTCAAAAATCTTAAAAATATTAAATATACAATTATCAGTATTAAAAAATATTATTACATTTTCTGATCATATAAATTGCAGTGAAAATTTAAACAAACTTGAATATTTAAAAATTTGAATACTTGAATGCTGTATTAATTTCTTTATATATGTGTGTGTGTGTGTGTACATATACATATATATATTAAAGGAATTCTTGGGAAAAGCCACCATGTTTGAAATTTTAATAATAATCCAAACCAAACCCTGTCTATCATGACTCACATTTCGGTTCCAGAAGGTGTTGCATAAACGCAGGCCAGGAGATTTACTTGCATCGTTGTTCACAGCACTTTTGTAGTGACACGTCCTGTTTCTGAATCCCATTTTGCACTTTAACTGCACTTTAATCCTACAGTTTGACAACAGCGGCCTGACGAACGCTCGTGTGCTTCATCATCACATCACGCCTCTGTGCTTCTACATCCTGATACTCCTGATATAACACGGCTGCTGTCTCGTGTTACCCACCTACAGTGGCTCCAAACGTCTGACGGCTTGCATTTTTAGTTAATAAAAAATGACATTAAATTATTACAAGTTAATACATTTAAATTTAAATATTCAAATGTAAACATTAAATTAACAATGTTAACGAAAACATGCATTTTTTTGTTGTTGAAATTTTGGATTTATGCATTTTTTTTATTGCAGTGGAAATTAATTTTTTGCAAGTGTTTAGATTCCCAACTGAAATGATGTAAAACAAACATTTTGTGGATTTTAGGAATAGAGAAAAATCTGTACAATTCAATCAATTCCAGATACATAAAATAAATGAACAATACATAGTAAAAATATACAAAATATAAAACAAGTGCACCAACTATAAAGGACATGATGGAAAAAGTGTACATATTTTAATTGATGTTTTGCATTTTTAGTTCATAAAAAGTCAATACAAATATTATTAAATTTATAAATATAACATTTTCTGATCATATAAATTGTAGTGAAAATTTAAATAAACTTGAATTTGTGATTTTTTTTTAATTGCACTGGAAATTAATTTTTTGCAACAGTTTAGATTCAGAACTCAAATGATGTAAAACTAACATTTCATGGATTTTAGGAATAGAGAAAAATACGTATAATTCAGTCAATTACAAAACATAAAATAAATGCACTAGAAATATACAAAATACAAAACAAATGCACCAAATATATAACATAATGGATAAAATACTGTACATATTTTAATTGACCTTTGCATTTTTAGTTAATAAAATATTAAAATATTACAAGTAAATAAAATATTAAGTTAATAATATTAATAAATAATATAACATTTTCTGAAAATATGAATTGCAGTTAAAATTTAAATAATCTTGAATTTATTTTTGCAATTTGTGTTTTATTTTATTTTTTACAATTTAGATTAACAACTCAAATGATGTAAAAAACGTGTGGATTTTAGGAATAGAGAAAAATCTGTACAATTTAATCAATTACAGATACATAAAATAAATGAACAATACATAAAAGAAATATACAAAATACAAAACAAATGCACCAATTATAAAGGGATGGATAAAGTACTGTACATATTTTAATTTACATTTGCATTTTTAGTTAATCAAATATTAAAATATTACAAGTCAATTAAAATATGAAATTAATAATATTAATAAATAATATTACATTTTCGAATCATATAAATTTCAGTGAAAATTTAAATAAACTTGAATGTATTTTTTATTCAAAACTCAAGTTTATTTTTTACTCTTTGTAATTTATTTTTTAACAATTTAGATTCACAACTCAAATGATGGATGGATTCTTGAAATAGATACAAATCTGTATAATTCAATCAATTGTGGATACATAAATGAGCAATGAATACTCAAAATATACAAAATTTTAAACAAATGCACCAAATATAAAGAGCATGATGGATAAAGTGTATGTATTTTAATTGAACAAAATCAGTTTCCGGTCAGTGTCACAAAACATTTGATTAGTGAACTATTTTAGAAAAATCTAAAATCATTTTATGACATTTTTATTTAAATTTTTGCTAAATAAATAAACATTTTTCAGTGTCTTCTCAGACATTTGGACCCACTGTACTTACACATCTTTATATATGTGCTCATAAAGAATGTTAGTATTTTTCAAATGTTTTTATTTTCCATTCACTGCCTTCTTGAGACGACAGATGACAGAATGAGAGTTTAATCACATCAAACCCAAACTAACATCAGAAACATCCCGCTGAAGCATTATTCCTCAGTCCTCATGCTGGTTTAATGGGATTTTTGCAGCTATCGCTCAGACGTTTCTGTGCTTCAAAAGAGTCATTTGACAAATGTTTGATCTTCCATTAAAGATATTTTCCATATTTCTAAGGCTGTTAAACTCTTTTGGACTGAACTCGATGTCCTGTTTGGTTGGTACAACTCACTTAATATATGAAAATGTTGCGATGCTGCAAGAATAAAGCTGTTTGATGAGCATTTGTAAAGAAGCAAGCAGGACGTTTGATTGCTTTCTATGTTTAATTCACGTTCATTGCTATAGTAAGACGCTTACACCAAAGTTTTGTTTCTCTAAATATCAAGTGTAAGAGATTTTTCTTATATGATTCTAATGAACTAGTGTATGCGATATCTTAAACATAATAAAAGTATTTTTTTTCTGTATTGATGATGTGAAGTCTTTGCTTTTAAAACACTTAGAGCATCTGCTTTCCACCTCATTTTCACTGATGATTTTTCGTTATTATTTAAATGTTTTTATGTTGATTGTATTATCTTTTTTTTATTTTTATAAATTGATCAATTATTTTCACATTTTTATTTTATAATTTTTCACAATTTTAAAATGATTTTAATTATTTTATTCAATATAATAATTTTATTATTTAATGATTTTTTTTATAAATAACTTTTTCAACCTAAAGTACATCTACATTTGTAAAAACTTGCATATATTTTTTTTTATTTGATAATCTTTTAATTTTAGTTTGCATTTTATTATTTTAATAATTTAATTAAAATTATTAGAATTGTGTTCAATTATTATTTTTTTAAATATAAATTGATAAATATTTTTTAAAACTAAGTTCAAATACATTTGCAAATAATTGCATTTTTTAAATTTTATAATTTAATTTTAGCTTGTATTTTATTATTTTAATAATTTAATGTAATTATTATAATTATTTAATAATTTAATGATTTTTGTAAATAAATTGATAACTACTTTTTTTTAAACCCAAGTACAAATGCATTTCATTTTATAATTTTTAAAATTTTAGATTGTATTATTTTTGTAATGATAATAAATATTTTTTGTAAATTGCTAAATTTTAATCTTATGCACAAATATAAATAAGTATATATGTCTGTCTGTGTGTGAAAACAAGATGATTGAGTTTCCTCAGAAAATCAGGATGTTTGAACTTACTCCATTTACTCTCTCTTTAAAGTGTGCCCTGCAGGACGAATAGAGGGGTTTCAGGTATGGAACTAAACGCATGTCATTACTGCAACCATCTCTCATAATTCAGATGGTTATGAGCTGAAAAGTGCATTGAACCCGTCATGCCGGCATTAATTCTTTGCTTTCTGACTGAAAGCAAAGCAGCTTTTGGCCGTTCTGGCTGTTCTGCTGAAGGTCATCTCTGCAGTGCATGCGTCTCTGGATTCAGGGCTCTGCTGTAGTTCAGTAGCTGTCTTGATCTCTTGATATTTATGATCTGTCATAACACTGAGAATGCTTTTACCATTGCAACCGTCTGTAGAGATTTAGCTCACGTGTCTGTAGTACATACTATGTAGTATGCATGGTTTTGGTTTCCAAATATATGAGCATGATTACAACTAAATCATTTGAAAAAAGTCTTTACAATGCAAATGATCTTGCCTTCACCAAAAAACATATATTGCATTTAAATGATACAAAAAAAAAAAAACACACACACACACACACACACACAGCGATATATAAATGCACAAAAAATCTACAAAAATATTGCTGAAAATGTTCTGGTGAAGTCGCTGGAGAAACTGCTCTTGTTTTATTTTAATTTAAATTTTAACCAAATATTAAGTTTGTTGAATTGTACCAAAATATCCCATCTTGATGACTTCCCTTATGACTTTTTTTTTTTTAAACTCAATTAAAATTTTTAACTCTGGTATATTTAATGTTAAATTACATATTTTGCATTTAAATAATAAAAAAAACACTTAGTCACACATGCATATAATTGTACCAAAAATATTGCTGAAAATTTTCTGGTGAATTCACTGGAGAAAGTGTTTTGGCTGTTATACATTTATTTATAGTATTATAGTTTTTGATCATATTTTGAATTTAAAAACTTTTACATTTAGAAAATAAAATTTTATTTTATTTTGATATATTCTGTTTTCATTAAAGTTGTAATAATTTTTGTCAATTTTATTAGTGTTTTTTTGTCTATATAGGGTTTTTTTAATCAGTTTTGGTTATTTAATTGTAGTTATTTTAGTACTTCAACAAACTAAATGAAAATGTAGTCTTAGAATCGTATCTTCTTACCATGACTTACTGATCATACAACTTTTTACAGTGCTGAAATAAAAAAAATTGTTAATGTAAAGTTTATTAAATGTTACTGTTTATTTTATTTCACGTAACAAACATTTTTATGGTTTTTATTTTAGTTATCTATAATAACACTGCTCTGAATGCAACACGTACTTATGAATTGAAACATTTCAAAACTCCTCAGTGCATGAGACAGAGCTTGCATATGTAACGTTTGCTTTCACACACTTGTGTAGATCTTGCTTCAGGCGTACAGTAAATGATGTCAATCATTCTGCAGATAAAAACTGGTACACAGATGAACCCGAGAACTGCTTCCCCAGAAACACGCAAAGCAAACACACCAACACACACACAGCCAATCAGATCAATCAGTTCAAATCCACCAGCAACATCATCCAGCCAATCAGAGAAGTGGAGGAGGAGCCTTGAGACGACATCATCCACACACAGACTGGAAATCAATCATGAACGACGTCAGAGATGGAGTTCAGTGGTTCTCAACTGGTTTTGCTGCTGGAGATCAAACCCAACACTGTTTATCATAAAGATGAAATTCTGATGGTTTCATGATTCTAGCAGCCAGTAATTTGCACAAAACTCATTGTGGTCAATCTGATTTTTGCTGCAAGTGAACCCGTTTTTAATGTCTTGGATGTACACGATAAAATTTCCACTTCAACTCAAAGACTTAACATCAGTTGCCTTAATCTCATATAACCTCACAAATGAAATTTAATTGAAATTAGTTCAATTATTTTGATTGATGAGCCATTGCAGCATAAAAAAAATTGATCACTTTTTCATCTGAAAGGGAAAGTTTATTCAAGTAAAAGGAATTTATTTTGTTTGAAAACTTTTCAGAGAAATATTTGTGTTGTTTTATTAGAAATAGATATGTAGGTTTCATAAAGTTTTTGAGCAATCATGAGTTATAAAGTCAAAGGAATTTAAATTAAATTTATTCCAGTGGGGTTAATACTGGAAATGCTCAGATTATATGTTCTTATAAATTTCATACAATGATATATTCAGATAACTTCTAATCAATATTGAAAAAAAAAATATTTTGCTTTTTTTTCGGTTCATGAGTAATTTTAAATTGCAAAGAATTTTTTAATTAATCAAAAAGGGTTAAATGCATGGAAATGTTGTTGATCAGATCCAATATGGTTTTAGTTGAAAAATATTAAGTTTTGACTTTTTTTTATAAAGCAACGAATCTTGAAATCGCATACAGATGTGAAAATCATACAGATTTGAATGCATTATGACGGGTAAATAGCGGAACAAAAAACATGTTGCCATGCCCTATTGATATATATATATATTTTTTTTTTTTTTACTGTGTATTTTTATTCATCGTTGAGAGCATCACATAAAATCTGTCTATATTGGATTGTGTGCATTTCATTACCTGCATCAAGCATTGTTGTTCCTTACCGTCCATGACTTGAAAAACACATGTACAATACATTTATGGATCGTGACCAGTTGAGAACCACTGGTTTTGGAAATAAGTATCAGAATCGCTAAATAGAGCGTTATAAATATAGAAGAGATGAGCGTAGAATATACTGCACTGTAGATGACAGAAAACTCCTCTAACTGAGCTAAATATGTATGAAGAAGTTTTCCTAGACATTCGCAGGCACATCATTGGATTTACATCACTCTACACTCACGCAACAGCATACAGTTGTCATTATCAGTGGGAAATCAGCCAAAGAGCATCAGTGTTTGATCTGGTTAAACGCCGCAGGTCGCGGAAAGCGGGCGCAGGTCCTCCCTCGGTCCGGCTCGGGATTGGCGATAGAATCCGAAACCAATCCACATGCTGGACAAATTAAACCTAGAAAATAAACTATGATTATAGCTGGATCAAATGGCAGCTTCGCTGTGTTCTCGTACCAATGATTATGCACTGTAGCAATAAATATGCTGTTTCACATGAGATTTGTCTTGATAACCGTGCATTTGATTGGGTTTTACCTCAGTAATGCATTGTGAGGTTTAATCAGCTTCATGTTAGTATGATGAGGATGGAGGTTAAAGTTCATGGCCTGTATAATCTTCAACGTCTACAATGAAACGCATTCCACAGCTTGTGCTGATAGATTTGATCTGCAGTGTTTCTTCAGCTCTTTGCTTTCAATCTGAGCTTTTTACTGTTAATAACTAAGCGCTGTAAATCATTTTATATGCATTTATTTGTTGCCTTGAGCTTCTGTTCACTTCTTCAGTCATTCCAGTGTTGCATATTAAACTCTGATCAGGTTAAACGTGTGCTTGATTTATATATGCGTCACATGAGCCTTAACAGAGCTGATCTGAGATCAGCAGAGCCGGACTCGAGGAAGGACCCACAAAAGACCCGCTCCAGCGAAAAGTGGCCCTAAAATCAACAACAACAACAAAAATCATGCAACAAAGTTCAATATTTAAAGACTGGATGACTGAAAAGTGGCATGAATTTGTGCAAGGTGTTTGATTAGTATGTATAATTTTAGTGATTCACACAAGCAGACGTATTTAAATGAAAATGTCTTAAGCATTAAGTGTGAATCTTGCTGTTTAATATGCTGAATGAAGAGAGAAAGATGAACATCTTGTGTGCTGCTGGAGTATTTAACATGATATACATGGCAACGCAGATATAAATACAATATATTATAATGTACAAAAGGCTGTAAATAAAGTGTACATGATTTTATTTTGTATTTTCACAGAATAAATATGGATGTATTAGTGTTGGTAACTGTGTAGTTATTTGACTATTTTATTCATCTACAGACAGTATCTGTACAAACCTGGAGTGAGGAGCTACAGGTGAAATAAATGACCTGTAAATTGTGCACTGTAAATCTACTTAATAAATAAATAAATATTAAGTGATATATTAAAAACATATTAAATTTAATAATAATTAAAATAAATTAAATTATAATAAAAATAGAATGAATACAAATCATTAAATTTTAAAATAATCAAAATAAAAAAAGAATTAAAATAATTAATAAATGAAAACAAATGAAATTAAATAAAAATTGAAAAAAAGATCATATAGTTCATAAAGTTTTACGCTTTAACAAGCAAAAACCAAATCTGCCAAACAAATCTCAGATATTTTGATTAATTAGTCGGAAAAAGTAATTTTGAGCTACATAAAATTAAAATATAATACTATATGGAGGGGAAATGTTTAATTGTCATAAAAATGCCACAATGAAAATAGAGATAGTTTTTTTAATAATAATAATAATTATATATATATATATA